AAACACGTTTCTATGAAAAATTTTTTTTTTAATTTTTTTTAAATAAAATAATATATTTTGGCATGGCTTCTGAGCCATTGTAAATCACATTCCGTCTCCAAAAGTCTATTGAGAATGATAAACAAATTAACATAACTTTTTTCCTGGATTTATTTGGGAATTCAATTATGCGATGTGAAATAAGAAAAAATAGGCAATAGACGTGATAGAAAATTTTCAGGTCAAGACTGGACATGGTTCTTTATTTATTTGAACACCAACATAAAAAGCATTACAACGCTGCAAATACGACTACATATTCGGTTTCTAAAGATTAATGCTATTATAGTAGTATAGGTGAAGCCTAAATGCAATAAAAATAAGATAAAAAGCAACAGAATAGGATTTAAAAGGTACAAAAAATTAAGATATGTTTTCAACAACACTATTGCTATTGTACAGCCAATGACTTTTTAAAGCTGTGAATGTGAATAAATTGTACTCTCTCACAAAACGGTCTAAATGGGCATTTTGATTGATCCACGAGAATGTTAAATCTCGACGGCCGAGGTAGATTGAGTAGTGTTGAGAAAGTAAGTAGATGTTAAAGATCCGGAACATCGAGAATGTCATTCGCTAACTTGTACAGGAACAATAAGTCGTGCAAGCGCCTTCGATCAGATAGAAAACAAATTTTAAAATTATCCAACCTCGCTTCATAATTTAAAAATACCTTGCCAAGATTACAGTTATATGTAGGACGCTACAGAAATCTTTTTTGGATGTTTTCTAATCTCTTTTTATACACGTCGTAAAACGGATTCCAAACCAAACTACAATATTCCAGGCCACTACTACTAGAATTTTAGTTTTGGGAGAGACTAAAAATTCGTACAATTCCTCAAAAAAAAAATCCTATCTTGAATTCTCTAGAACAGATCACATCAATATGAAAATTAAATCTCACTTTCTTATCCAGCCATACACTATCCTCAATTAAAAATATTTTAAGAGACGTTAGTACATCGTCTCTTAAAATATTTTTAATTTTGTATCCGAAATTAGAAAATTGCATACATTTGGAGATATTAAGGTCCATTTTATTAGTCTTGCAACTTTTGGTAAGGTTGCAGAGATCATTCTGTAATAAATTGCATCTGAAGGAGAGTCAACAGTTCTGAATAATTTTAAGTCAACAGCAAATAAAAAAATATATTGAAAACCAAGATAGAGGCATTAAACAGCAAGGGTGCTAAATGCGGCCCTTGAGGAACACCGGAGGTAATGGGAAAGGGATTAAAAGAATAACCATTGACAACAAATTGAGACGTTCTATATTTAAGATACTACCATGGGTCGCATGATCATGGGTTCGCCGATTCCGAGTAAGTGGACCTTGCGGAGAGGTATATTATGATTAACGCAGTCGAAAGCCTTTAGTCCGCATAGATTGCATGAACTGAGTGACTATCTAGTTTGTGGGAAATATTATTAACAAAAGAAGTTAGGTTTGTAGCAGCAGATCTTTTCTTCATGAAGCCATGCAGATTTGGATCGTTGAAATGCTTAAAGTGCCAAGAGAGAATAGTTATTGAAGTAATTTTTTTACTATATTAAGTAACTGCCCGAGTACCTTCGTAAATACAGGCAGAATTGAAATAGATCTGTAAATTGAAATAATAACTTTATTACCATTTTTAATAGTGGAACAATTAGTGATACTTTCCATTCGGATGGAAATGTGTCGGTAACTAGATTTGTTATATATAATAGTCAAAGGCTTTGCCAAAGCTCCAGCACATGACTGCGAATAATGATGGTAAACCATCAGATCCAACGCCTTTATGAGCATCAAGTCTTTTTAAAACTTTTAACACCTGATCATATTTGAATTTTATAGCAATGAGATAATTGTTCGAAGGCGAGGCAGAGTATTTATCATATACATATTCTGCAGCGCTTTCAATGTGATGCAATTACTATGTCTATAAACAGAAGAAAAGGTTTTTGTAAATAAATTACAAATGTCATGGACATTGGCAGCAATTTCATTGTTAAGGGACATTTGGGCTGGATAAATCTTATCATTGCATTTTCTGTTTTTAATAAAGGACCAAAAAATGTTTGGATTTGTGCGCAAGCGTGTTCATGGCTAGAAATATACTATAGTTATTATAACATGAACGCATTAAATATTCGGCGCGTTTTTTTAATACTTCAAATAAGAATTTATCCAGGGCATGCGCATTTTGTTACGGTATTTAAGTTTTTCTCTGAGAAGACGAATTAAGTCTTGCAAAAACCGAATTCAATATTTTTTAGATTTTTGTTTTAACTTAGGCACATGTTTTTGAATGGCCATACGAATATATTTGTAAAATATAGTGACCATATCATCAATTACGGAGCAATTATCAAATTCTTTCTACCAATTTACTGCATTAAGATCCAAAATATTTTTTTCCGTAATCTGCTTTGTTCAAACAAAAATGAATACTACTGTTCTTGGGTATTGAAATAACAATATTAGATTTAAGTGTAAATTGTAGAGTGTAATGGATCGATTGTAGTTAAGGGGTCACTACTGATGTTTAGATCAGAGATATCTGTACTGCTGAGAGCCAAATCCAAAATATTTCCCTTATTATTCAGAGAATCGTTATATTGTTTCAAATTATGAATTGATCCGTAAGATCATATAAAAAAGAAGTGCAATCGCATATTCTAAAATAGTAAACTTTCAAGCCTTTTTGGAAAAAAAAATACTTGCATAGAACATTGATCTGTAACTATAACTATACATATAAAGAGCTGAAACTCGTTTACAAAAAAATCTACCACACCTAAGTTCCAACTTTCAAGCCTTGTTGGAAGAAAAATACTTGCATAGAACATTGATGTACTGTAACTATATACAAATAAAGAGCACAATCGCGTTTACAAAAAAATACTTTCAATCCTTTAAAGTAAATATACCTTGATAGAACATTGATGCATAACGGAATATATCGCTGGTTTGCGAGAATAGCGACGGAACTAAAAATGATTGATTTTAGAGAATGGCATTTTTTAATTTCTTTGTAAATATTTTAGTGCATACCGCAAAATGTAAAGAATTTATCGAGGGATTGACTTTACTGATTAAAGGAAAATTTATCGTAGTATCAAAAAACATAAAAACATTTTAGAACTTTTATTAAAATTATTTAAAAAAATCGTCATAAAAAGGCGGTTTTCTGACATGAGTCTTTATTCATGAGACTCCAAATTATAAAAATCAACTTATGTCATTTATTTAGCTTTAAAGCCTCTTAAAAAATACAAATTAAAACTTACAACAGTGTTTAAAACTTTTGTACTTATAAGTATAACAACTAAAAATAGTTTTATAACATACAATAGTAACTTTAAATATAGGTACTAAAATAAATGAAAAACCTTCAAAATCAACAATGAAATAAAAAATAAAACATGAACATTAATTCTTCAAAGGAAATCTAAGTAAATTAGATCATTTAATTTACAACCCCAAATAAAATTGTCGATAATAATTTGGAATTATATTTTTGTTAACTAAATCTACTAGTCCTCTCTTCTTATTTTCTGAGATTCCGTTCCTTTTTTTATAAGCAGATTGCAATCTGCAATTTTCATCCAAAGATTTTGATGCACGGCTAGTAACTTTCACACATTTAAATTCATTTTCACCGTAAGATGTTTTATAGAAAAAGAACCCTTTGTGGTCAGCATCTACTTTTAAAATCTTTATATCTGCCATTTTCACACTCTCATTATCAGTATTTTTATTAAAATTTCTACCCACGTCAGAAGCTAGCGACTTTAATTCATAAAGACTTCTATGACCATTTCTACGACTTTGTAAGGAGGTCCTTTCTTTTTTTGCAGTGCGAATAATTGAAATGTACTGATCCGATGTATAGATAGGGCCCGATTTCAAAGTCTTTTTGATATTTCTTTCAATGAAAGAATGCACACTGTCACCTTCACATTGTGTGTGCCCTTTTATCAAAAATTTATGCGTGATACTATTAATATGAGCACAGTAGAAACAGCGCACATGCACATACTAATAATAAATTTATTCTTTTGCTGTCCCCAGCAAATGTCAGAATAAAAAATTATATCTAGTTTGGCTTCAGTTGTTAGATCTCTGCCAAGATTTTTTTAAATATTCTAAAACACAGGTCCCTATTTCTATAGCTCCTCTATTTGCTTCTCCTTCATGCCATACGTAGCAGAACGCATTTTTATTTTTCATCTCATAGATCGTAATGTTTAAGGTATTCACTTTTGAAACATAGTAAAAATTAGATACATCTACCCTAGGACATGGCATCACAGCTTGTAAGTCATAAACTGCTACAATAGTTGATTCTTTATCTTCTGCTTCTTTCTTGTCCTTAACCTTCTCCATTCTTGAAAGCTCTTTTTCTTTTAGATGGTTCTCATATTTAGACTTCAGTCGATTTTTATCTTCTCCATTTGCTTTATTGTAGGCAACACAATCCTCACACTGATCCTTCTTATGTTGGTAAAATGCTATATTAAATTCTCCTGTTGTGCAGTTAATAATTGAATATTCTATTAAACATGATATAGTTAGCACTTTTCTCTCTTTTTTCTTCACAGTGTTTCACATAATCTCTATAAATTTCTGCAATAGTCTTACTTCCATCAATATATTCTTTCTGCGTATCTGCTCGACAGTAATGGCTTTCTATTTTTGGTATCGCCTTAATGAAATTTCTCAAACTATCTTTAATATTATCATCTACGCGACTGTGATTGCCATGTTTCCCTCGAAGATCCTCCACTATAATGCCTGAAACGTCACTTCTTGATTTTTCGGTAACTGTTCGAATAAATCTATCAGATACATCTAGCGTAGACATAAAAACGAATTTTTACGCCATCTTTGTCTTTAAAATAAAATGCGTTATTATTTCGACGTGTTCCTTTTTTATATTGATACGATTGGACAATAGAGGACATATGGAATGCTACAAAAGTTCTTTTACTGTGCAAATCAGGTAATTTACAATATGCGTCAAAATATGGCGTCGAGTCTCATCATCTAACTTTGTGTTACACTTTAACTTGCATTTTTCTGTACATCCTGGTCCTAATCGTCTCTCTCGTATAACTTTATTATTTTTGCCTACATATTCTTTCCCTGCATTTCGTAGACGTTTTGCTACATTCGATTTCCAAAGTTCTGGCTGCATTTTCCTCTTACGTGTAAATTGGTTTGATTTACGTGAAATATTTTCTTCTTCATTCTCTTCTACCGTTTCATCCGAATCTGACGATAAATCATTATCTTCAATGTGATAATTAAGATCTGCGATACTACTCCGATGAAAAATCTCTTTCTTCCTTTCCTTCTTCACTTTCAGCATTCATATTGGTCAATTCAATAGCTTTTGGTTCACTTTCTATTTGTGAATTACTTTCTACTGCAGTCTCATCTTTCATATTATCATTTACTGACTCTATACTTACCTTATTTTCTTTGGTTTTATTTTCTAAGCTATGGCCATGGAGTCCTTTTTCTTTTAAATTTATGATTTTATTGGATTATTTATTACATTCTTCTGTTTCCCTATTGCTGGTGGAAGATGAGCTAGAAGACGAGGAAGATGAGCTAGAAGTTAAAGAAGATGAGCCAGAAGATGATGATGACGATACGGATTCCCACCCAGGACAAAAATGTTTGTGTGATGAGCACGATCATTTGTTCTGTGTCTGGGTGTAATTTATATAATATTTATGTATTTAGAAATATATAAGTATGTATATCAGCTGTCTAGTACCCATAACACAAGCTCTGCTTAGCTTGGGACTAGATGGCGTTGTGTGATAGTTATGGAATATTATTATATTATATTATTCAAGGAATTTTGGAATAGAAATTTTCTATCCCAAAATTCCTTGATTTAAAAGCAACCATTCCCACTTTTTTTCAAAAATAACAACATTTCTTATTTACGACAAAATAAAATCCGTTTATTTTTCGTGAATATAGACTCAAGTTACATAAAGTCGGTATAAAATACAATATCATAAGCAATCACCCATTTTTATTCAGGAATACAGGCGTAAATAGAAATGAGACAAAAAAAGATACTTACTTTTATCAGGAACAACGACGGATCACTAAATGTGTTACTATTCTTGAAAAAAAATCAACAATTGTTGCAACCAAACTGATCTCGTACTCGGTCGTACGTCTCGTAAACGGTCTATTCTCGAAAATACGTCGGTATTTTCGAGAATCGACCGTGCGTTCACTCTGTTGTCATTGGCTCAACTGAGATGAGCCTTTATTTGTGATTACGCTTCGAGTGTTTTGTCTCAAGTGAATAATGACGCTGTCTCTTTCTAACGAAAGCTAGCGCGAAATTGGCGTTGCATCTCTGTTCACGATAAAATATCAAAGATTTATGATTGTTTGGCATACAGAATTCAATTTGACAGAATTTTGAATTACGTCGATATTCTCGCAACCCAACGATATATATGGAGCAGAATCGCGTCAAGTGTCGACAGAGCGAGAATATTACATTAATACTGAAGTCTTGCGAGTATTTTGGATCGGCACTTGGTCGACGTACTTTAAAGTAAATAAATACCTGGTATAAAAACCTGGTCGCGTAAATACGCACCTTCCCTAATCCCGTCTATAGACAACATAACGGTCATCGAAAAGCTCAAAATCGAAGACGCTGCTATTTAACCAAGTCTCACCACAGAATAAATAATAGTAGATACTACGTACTGGTCTCACTTAAAATCGTTACATCGTAAGAACTACAAAGTGTTATTCAAAAATTCTATTGTTTAGTTTCTCAGAGCTCGCACATTTTAATAGTAAAACTTTAACATAAAATATACTATTAATGTAACCAAAAAAATAACGATCGGATAAAGTGGAAATGACCAAAAACAAGTAATTTTAGTAAGATGTGTGAAGCTCAATTATGTTATTTTGTCTAATACGTCAGAGACTTTGATTAAGATATAACTAGAGCTTTCAGTTTTGCGTACGAGCACTTTGCCGTCTTTAATCCACGCAAAAAAGTTGAGTTCTTTTGCCTTCAGACGGGCTGCAGCGTATAGAGACTTTTTTACGGAAGGAAGATGCTCAGAAACGTAAACAGCACTCTTTTTTTCCTCCGCCGTATCCTAGATGAATTTGATAGTTGGGACCAAAAAAGTTCTCTTATCTATACGTCGACTGCTAAACTTTACAAAGATCAAGCGCAGGCGTGGACCGTTCGTTTTAAATTTAGCAATACGGCTACAGTACTGGATATCTGTGTCGGTTATTGGGCATTTAATAGTGTTGCTTTATTGTTGTGCGGTGCTATAGATTCTCACTTTTGTGTTCCGGAACGCACTGAATTTCTAAATTGCTGGCACGGGAGCGCTGTTCTCAATGAAGCAACTTGATAGTTAAACCACGTGTAGTTTTGCGCAGGGTCTCGTTTTCAGTCTCTAAGCTCTGTATTTGAGTCTTGTGTGTTTGGTTATCAAGTTTAACTTTTCCTTGTTCAGAATTAAAGAACGTGATGGTGATGCAATACTTTGTATCAAGTTTTACTTGAATGTCTGAGATAATATTATTTAAATTTCTGTAAAGCACGTCTCTTATAATACCTATCTCGTATGGTGTTAGGGGTGAGACAGCCACGGCTACTGGTCTTAGATGTGGCACTTGCACGCAGCTTAGAACGAACCGTTATGTTGTCATTGTAAGACACAGCCGTGTCAAGACTTTTGCAAATGGAAGTGGGCGCAGATGTACTTATTGGTGTATTGGTATTATCTCCTCGTTTAGGTTCTTCGCAACGGCAAGACTGACAGACCCAAGTTTTTATTCATTGCCCATAAAAACCATGTAGGGGAGATCATGAAGGTTAGAGAACAGGAGAACGATCACTACGTACTAAGGTATAGCCCGCCTGTCCTTGAAAATTGTAGAATTTATAGCGGCGCTGACGTCGGTGAGTAGTGACTGCGAAGTTAGCTGTTTATGAGTACAAGTAGGTGAAGTTAGTTGAATAATGTACAAATTTTCATTTCATTTTTGTATAGAAAATTTTCATGCTCCGTAATTTTGTAATTTTTGACAAAAAGTAACATTAAAAAATGGAGAAATATTTTATTGTGCATGGATGCGCAAGTGGTTTAGCATCTGATCGGAAAATAGACTCAAAATGACTTATTGACCGAACCTCGAGAGATCGCAGCGCCTCACTTATGGTGTCCATATTTCTGGGACACTATTTTCTACGGCGATCTTTCTCCTGTTCTCTAACCTTCATGGGGGAGATTGTCCTCATTACCTCTATACTCCACGCCCGTAACATTTATGACCATAGAGTACTTTGTAAAAATTGAAATAGAGACCAATCTTCGACCCTATCATGAAGGTTAGAGAACAGGAGAACAATCACCGTAGAAAAAAGTGCCATAAACTCTAAAATACAATTCACAATGGAGTTAGAGGCAAATAATTCTTTAGCTTTCCTAGATGTTTTAGTCATCCGAAATCCTGATAACACTATTGGTCACACTGTGTATAGGAAAAAGACCCATACCAACCGATATCTAAATGGTGAATCTCACCATCATCCTTCACAGTTAGCTACCGTGGGTAAATCTTTGTTTCAGAGAGCACGAGGGATCTGTGACAGAAAACATCTGGCCGCGGAGCTTCAGCACGTCAAGCAAGTATTGCAAGACAACAAGCTTCGGGTCCCGCGCCTACGTCACAGTGAACGAGTGAAGCCAGCCACAGTCGAGCGCGCGCCTGCTCTACTACCATATGTTAGAGGAGTCACAGACAAGATTGGCTACATCTTGAAGCGAGCGTCCATTAAGACATACTACAAGCCGCTGAAGAAGATTAGTCAATTTTTTACCATCCATCAAATGTAATATTCCTCTACAAGATGCAGGTGTGTACAAGCTAGATTGTGAATGTGGTCTCTCTTACATAGGTCAAACAAAGAGATCTATAAAAACCCGCGTGAAGGAACATATAGCTGATGTGAAGCACCGACGCTCCGGGAAGTCTGCAGTCTGCGAACATGTTCAAGATCGTCCCCACCATTACATTAGATTTGATAAACCACAAATTCTCGCAAAAGAACACCGATTCCTACCAAGGATGATACGCGAGGCTATTGAAATTAAAAAACCAAATTTCAATAGAGAAGATGGTTGGGTGCTACCATCTGCTTGGGATCCTATAATTAACAAAATTAAACCCAAACCTAAGCATACCACTGCAAGACTTCATGATACTATAAGCTCGTTTTGCGTAAATCGGACCAAAAATTAATATTAAAAAACTGAAGGTAGCCGGACTAACTATGACATTGGGACGTCAAACATCTCAGTCCCCCCCCGTGACCATGGGCGCTGTAAAGCACCCGAAACGTCGGGATAATAATAAAAATAAATTAAAGTAATTAAACGCGATAAAATCCGTAAATAATAGCTTTATTCAATGTGTAGTGTTCGCGTAAATTTAAGAAATCATTCATCTACTTGTACTCATAAACAGCTAACTTCGCAGTCACTACTCACCGACGTCAGCGCCGCTATGTATTCTACAATTTTCAAGGACAGGCGGGCTATGCTTTAGTACGTAGTGATCGTTCTCCTGTTCTCTAACCTTCATGGACCCTATGCTTCGACTTAGTACTTTTATTAGTTTGTGGCTTCGTCCTATAAAATGGCAATGCAGAACTAGCGCTATCTCATATCCTTACAACCTTAACAAATAAAACTAACATAATATTTACAAGATTTACTAAAAACAGAACGCAAATACAATGATAATTGTCATTACAATAATAATTATCAGTACATTTATTACACATTTAAATATATATTTAAGGAATCACCAAGATGACCGTAACCCCAGCTATACAATGTGAAAAGCCTGAAACAAAGATACGAACAAAATTAAAAATTTAAATAATGTAAATCTGCACTCAACTTCTTTAATTACATGTATAATTTAAAATGCGTCAAGAGATAAAATTGAGATAGTTTGAAATTGAAATGAATTTTAAGCCAATTACTAATCAAGTCACAAGTCTGAATATTGACAAAAACAAATATATTTATTTCAGTGGTATCCTTGGGTTGGGGTTTAATTTTGTTAATAATAGGATCCCAAGCAGATGGGTGCTGACCCATCCATCTTCTCTATTGAAATTTGAAATCAAGGCCGTGTAGTGGCGGTTGAGAATATCCACTACCCCATATCTTCCCGTGGGTGTCGTAAGAGGCGACAGAGGGAGACAGGCAGGAGATGGGCAGCAGCATCATCCTGATAACAACTGTGTTATAATAAAAAACTGAGGTTGCCAACCCGCTCGCC